AGTGGGTGCAACACTCGCATGGGAGGGGGACGGAGGGGACGTGTAGTCAAGTCCTTTCAGGTATAAGGCAGATCAGAACCTGTGGCTTCTCCTCCTGCAGTGAGTAGACAATAGATTGCTAACTAAAGGAGTCAGACAGGGCTCTTTGGATGTATTTTAGGGCTCTCAAACCTACAAGGATACTGCGAGAGCCCTACTAGATTTTGGGCATGAGCTATGGAGCCCTGTCAAGTTGTGAGCACTTCTGGGCACGGCCAGTGGCCAACATGTAAAGCATCTTAGGGGAGTTGAATTAAACACCTGGACACCAGCACCAAGGTTAAGTTTCACACTAAGGTGCTTTAAGCCTATTTGTAAATCAAGTCCCCAGAGCTGGGAATGGCCCTGTGTCCAGCAGCTTAGGTGTTTGTGCTCGTCTTACAGGGATGTTTGCAATTCTCACGCCACTCTTCTTCTTTTCCCTCCCCACCTCCAGGCCACCACAGAACCTCCAAAAAAGAAGCCGGATCCTGTCACTTCAGAGACGGTGGTTTTCTGGGGGATGCGCCTCTGGCAGGTGGTTGGAGTCTTTGCCATCTTCGTCCTATCAGTCAGTAAGTTATCATTTTCTACCCTCCTAGCCCACCCTGGCACCATCTCACCTGCCAACCCCTGTTGACCCCATCAGACTCGGAGGGAAAACCACCACTGGGGTCAACAAAAATGGGATGGGATTCTTCCTCTGGCATTACTGAATTAGTCTTCAGTAGATTGGGATGGGATTTGGAAAGGAAACAGTTTGAGAAATCCAGGTTTGCATTGTGCCTGAAGCCAGACTAGGTCATCATAATGGCCTTGACCTTCCCTTCGACTTGGCCCTTAACCTCTTGGATGCCCTTGGGTGTCCTGACCTTCCCTTGGACATGGCTCATAACCTCTTGGATGGCTTTAGGTGTCCCGACCTTCCCTTGGACATAGCTCATAACTGCTTGGATGCCCTTGGGTGTCCTGACCTTCCCTTGGACATGGCTTATAACCTCTTGGATGGCTTTAGGTGTCCTGACCTTCCCTTATCCTCTTTGATGGCTTTGTGTCCCATATTCCTCAATCTATGCATATCCCTTTGGGGAAAGTTTGAGATTTGAAATGTAGACAGGACCTTCAATCAAAGACTTTGCTAGTTGTAGTTTCATTGGTAGACAACACTCTCAGTGGAGAAACAGCTTACATGGTAATAACTAAGTAGTTTTAATTTTGTTTTTTAAATAGCTTATTCTAGACTGGGGTCAGGAGAGTTTGCAAGCACATGAAAGACCCTCTCTGGGCCACACTTAAGGCACCCTCCTCCTTTGACAACAAACCCTTCATCGTACTCTTTGAAAGCAGTTTTTCAATCACTATATGGTGACTTCATCTAGACCACATTTCCTTAGCATCAAAAGCCTATTTCACAAGCTACCTGTCTCACATGACTTTCTAGAGTAAGGATGAATTGTATCTACTGGTTCATTCTTATCCAATAGGCCTGTTATCCTGCCAAGGCAGGTATCTAGACTAGATTGAACATGACTGGTTCTTGACAGACCCATATTGGCCTTTTTTTTTTTAAATCACCTCCTTGTTCTCAAAATGCTTACAGATTGATAGCCAAATACTTTATTCCACTATCTTTCCCAGTAACAGTTAAGCTGACTGATCTATAAATTCCCCAAGGGCTCTTCATTCCTCTTTTTTAATAGATAAGTATTATGTTAGTCCTTCTTTAGTCCTCTGCCATCCACCTTGTCTTCCAGGCAGAGTCATTAATGGTTCAGATTGCTCACAAACTACCTGAAGCAATCTAGATGACTTTTATCATGCCTCACTAGCTTGAACACAACCAGCTGATCTAACTAGTCCTTAGCCTGATCTTTCTCCATTTCAGTCCATGATCCGTAGCCCCGGTGAAAATTAAGTACCTGGTCATCTTTTTATGCACAGACTATACACAAAGGAAGCACTGAAGACTTGGGGTTTCCCT